AAAAAAAAAAAACCCCTGCCATGCTGTCCCTCCTAAAATTGTTGATCCTCATAACTCCGAATCTGATACACTGATCTCTAGAAAACAGACAGGTTGCCCGAAAAATGTCTCCCTGACTCTAGAGGGAGTTTCATGAAATCACAGGCCCATTGCTTCTCCTTCCCCTTGACCATGGGAAAGCTCCTCTCTTTCTTGTATAATGATGAGAAAAATATTTGCCTCAAGAGAAAGTGATAGACAAAGCTGATGCCACATTGGGATTTTCAGAAACTTCCAGATGTTCGGCAGAGAATGAGAAATCCACCTACAGGTTTTCCTTGTCCTTCTCACTCATGCCTTCCATGGAGTGATATGGGCATGTGAAAAAGCGGACAGTAAAATAGAAGAGACATCCTTCCATCTGCTTCCTTTCTCTTCTTGGGACAGGACAAATAGATATAGAATTTGCATAGATATGTGTCTTTCAGATGTCTTGGATGGACTAATACATAATTTCTGGGTCCCTCCTACCCCCATCTCCTGTTCTTATTACATTGCTGTTTAGCCTCGTACATCTAGATGTGAAATCTGTAAAATGAGATGTACTTGGAAATAAGTTTCACAATGTCCCACTTAACCTTCATGGTTGTGTCAAATTCCTGTTTGGGGACGTGACTTCTCGATACCTGTCTTCCCTCCTCCAGCCCCTTCTCACTTTCTTCCACTGACAGCTGCAAAGCTGCAGCATCCTGTCTAGAGGGCTTTCCGTGGGCTGATGCATTCACCATCAGAGTCTGATCCACAGTGTGAATTTGTCCCCCAGAGCTGCACAGCTCAGGCATTCAGAGGGCCATGCTATTGAGCATTAGCTGTTTGACATTTTCTCAAACTAATAGGAAACGAAATATGAAAAGGTAAAAATAAAGGGGAATGTTAACAGCTTTGCCAGTTTGATAACATGCCTTCCTGAATTCTGAGTACAGGTAGAATTTATAAAATAATGACAAGGGAAAGAATGTGTATACATCACTTCCTGAAACATCTTCTTGTCTAATTAGAGAGCAAATGCTGCATACGGAAAGTGTTAATTAAAGCCTAAGGCCTGGTTTTGAACACAGCCAGCAAAGGAAGCAAATGCTCCCACATGCCTTGGTTTCTGTGGCTTGTGTCATGTGGCTGAGTCTGGCCCCAGCTGCCTTTTTTTTTTTTTTCAACCTGGGGCTTCTTTTTACACATTTTTATTGAAACTGCCTTGCCAGCCTTTAGCAGGAATATTTATGCCCTGCAGTACTGGCACTGGAATTTTTGCATGGGCAACTGAAGATGTTAATAATGACTAGAAGCCTCTTGTCACAATTGAGCATCACTGGAAGGAGAAAGGAAAGGAGTCAGAAGCTTTTAGAGAACTAATCATTAAGCAGCTTCCTGTGCAATCTGCTTTTGAGGATTGGCTCTTTCACATGTGCCATCCTTGCTGGGCTATTAGTGAGTAATTTCTGTAGCACATCAAGCAGAAACTGTTTTCTTGGTGTATTTGATAAAGCTGCTCTGTAGCAGTTATTGTTAAACCTTTACTTGACCTATATCCTGCTTAATGTGGAGACAAGAATCCCACTAAATAAAGGTTTGGAATGGCTGGGGCAGTGGTCAGCTCACAACTGAAAGGAAGCCACTGTAGAGTCACCTTAGGCTTTAGGTCACATATCAAAATGTGCTATTCTAGAAACAAGATCCAGGATGAGGTGTTTTTTTTGCATGTAAATATCTACCCTCAAAAATTGGGTTGCTCAGACTTGCTCACATCCAGACCCAGAGGCTGCTGGTGTGGGGACATGCCCTTCAGATACCCCTTGGGGAGAAATGCCAAAGCTTCAAGCGTTCAGCCGCCTAGAAGAGCTGTGGGAAAGAACAGCAGCTACATTCAAATAATTTTGATTGTGGAAAATGCAATAAAGGTGAGTTAAAGGTGAGTGAGTTAAAAATTCTGATTCAGCTCATTTCAGTCCATGTGTAGTATTAGCATTTTAATCCAGAACAAGATTTCATTTCTCATAGCAGCATAAATCTAGCAGAAGCTATTTAGCTCTTGTTTTTCCTTAAGATTGTTGGTGTTGTTTTTCTTACCTTGTGTGTCGAGCTACATCTTCCCCGTGCATCTGTCACATACACCATCTTTTGACATTGACTGACTGACTTTTCATCCATACTGTGAATATAGGCACACGGGGAATGCTGTATTTGAGTAGAAATGCGCTTGTCTGAGAGTTGAATGAAACTTTAAATGTTCCTTCAAAGCCAAGAGCCTGCACTGCACAGCTCCCCTGAAGTGAGGGGGTTGCACATGATGTCTCAAGCCCTCAGAAAGAGCATGAGAATGCAATGCAATCTTATTTCTAAGTTTTATCTAAAGTTAAACGAACTAAGACCATAATGTAGTATTTGCTCCAAACACACCAGCTCCAAACTGATTGTTTTCTGTTCTTTTTCACTTTCCTTGCATGCTCACTCTTTTCTGCTTCCATGTAACAGTGTGTTTGGCTATCTGCAGACCAGTGCTAGGAGACTCCAACAGGCAATGGACAGTAATTCCCTGCTAGCGTGTGCTGGAATCTCTGGAAAGCTTGGCCATTACATTATCATGTGGAGAGACATTTGTTCTTCCATTGATTTTTAGGAGAACCCTGCACTGTCTTACAGGACAGGGTGGCCCATGGCACCTTGTCCTGTGGCAGATGGCAGAGCTGTGCTGGTTTGGAGACTGCTGGTAGTCTGTATTAGTCTAGCTCAGGGTTCCAGGTGAAAGGAGCAGAGGGGGCTGTGCTCAGGTCCTTTCTTCATCTCTTCTCAGACTAAATTCCCCACCATGAGCTGTTCCTCAGGACCCCCATCATCTCCTGGCTTAGCACAAGCCTGTTCCTTTCTGTGAAGATTTTGGAAAGTGGTCAGGTCTTAAAGCCTGGTTAGAAAGTTTCACTGCCCTTCTCTTTGGGGAAGAGCTCCATGTGGCTCTTGTGTGTTTTTTCTAGTGAAGAAGACTCCTCTTTCTTCATCCTCTTTCTTCTGAGGAAGTCCCTCAGAGGGACTTCCTTTCCCTCTGGAAGCTGAGTGATACTTGTTTGATAGTATAGCTGGGGGGAAAATGCAGGGCTCTTTCAGGATAAAAGCTACATTATAAATTAAATAGAAGATATTATTGCTGTTGCATACTGTTAACACTTTCCCTTTGAGCTGTCCATTAGTGGCTTTACCAAAACTATCTCATTGTCACCATACACAAATATTTCCAGCTTACTTTTTTTCTTTTTTTAGAGAATATTTTTGTGACGGGTCTGTCAATAATTAGTTTCTCCTGCAAACGATAGTAGTTGATTGCCTCGACTTGTCTGGCATTTAGTCCATAACTTCCACTGGGAATACAGCCCAGGGCATGTTCTGGGTGGCCACATAGTGCCTGGGGCATTTCCCTTGCTGTCAGCACGGGTGGTCGGCATCAGGAGGCACCCGGTTGAGCTCTGCCCGGCCTGGGGAGCCGTGTTCAGCTTTGCAAGGCTGCGGCGTCGCCTGCGCGGGTTCAGCGGCGGGCGGCAGCCTCCCAGGCCCTCCGCTGTGCGCTTTCCACTCCCGTCAGCCAAGTGACTCACAGCGAATAGAATGAAGCACAGATGTAGATCCTGGTAGGGCCTGGGGCTTTAGCTTATGAACCACGCCAGGCTGGTTCTGGTACTTCAGCGCCTGGCAGGAAACGAGTAACTAGTTTTTGCCTTAGTTTGTCTGTAGGTAAAATGGGGATTGTTCGGTATTTGGAAAGCTCTCAGATCCTTGACTGGCAGACATTATTTAAAAATAAAGTATGCTCATTGCAAAGACATATTGCTAGGGAGTAAATGGCAAGAAGGAAAGATTAAAAATACGCATGGCATCTTACTTTCCATTTGCTGATATTTACAATATTTATTTCAGATAAGGGAAATGGAGAAACTTCTCAGGATGAGAAGTTGGGCTCTAGTTAGCAGAGATGTGCATACAGACATGCATGCACACACCGTATCTAGCTGCACAGAGCACAGACTGCTGCCTCGCGCCTCATCACCTGGTCTGCAGGCAGCTGCTCTGTGGTATTCTGTCTTCTCCTGTGTAACTGTCAGTGCTTTTAACTGCTGAGCACCTGTGCCCGCACTGTGCAAGGTGGGCAGAGCAGCCCAGGATCTGAAAACACAACAAACAGCAAGGAGCACCCACCAGCTGAACAAAACCAGGGCTGCAAACTGGTGCTGCATCTGGCCTGTGAACTGATGAGCTGCCCTGCCTGACCTTGAAGCAAGGTAAATACTGCTATTGAAAACTGTGGGGCATTAATTAATGCTGGCACCTGCCCTGATCTTCGTCTTATTAGTTTCACTCAAGTCAGGACTGTAGCTGAACTTACATATCTCAAACCCTTGCAAAATCTATACCATAAATGACAGTGTAAAATCCTGTGACACTCTTTTTAGAAAGAGTACGTGTGGCCTCTGTTCTTATTATATTTTATGTCTTAAAATCTAGTCATGTAAGCCTCATTTTCAGCAGTGCTTTGGCTTAAAGCATTTTAATGACATAAATAGACCTTAATTAATGCTAAGAGCTTGTACTATTAGGATTATGTGCTAGTATTTGTTGCCTCTGTGGAGAAAAAAGGCCATATTCCCAATTCTGCAAATAAATGTTTTTAATTAAAAGCAAAATTTTCTTTATTATAGAGCACCACCTCTCCTTAATCATATTACTGCAGACATACCTGTCACCTGAATAACAGGTCATTGAGACAGGTAGAATAAGTATTTCTTGCATTTTTTTTCTAAGTTTCGTCCTCTCTTTAAAATACTTGGCAGACATTTTCTGCCTCAAAAATGAAAGTTGAAAACATTATACATGGAAAAAAAGGCGAATTATGAACAAAACTAGAATTTTCAACCAAGCTTTTCAGGGAAATATAAACTATTTATAAGACAATATTTATGTATTTAATTATTTTTATGAAAAAATATCTAATAAAATTAAATAATTTTCATCACATCTAAAATGCAAGCTACTCTTTGGTATTTAGAAGACTTATGACAGTTTGTTCAATTCAGATGCTTTCGTCAGCTAATCAGAATGTTAAATGTATTTTTGATTTGCCATTTTAATATCCTCTAGACAATGTGAGCCATAGCAGGCAGTCTGCAGCAGTGCCATGCATTTTTATGCCTGGATTTCCTACTTGGAATGAAGTAGGAAAACTTCAGCTTCACGCCAAAGAATCGGAGCAAGGCCAGGTTTGTAGAGAGAGAGATGCTTTTTGGTTAAAGCTCCTGGCAGAAAAAACAGACATGCTTTCACCCGCTCCATCCCCTCTGAAGCCCAGAAAAGCCACCCGCTTGGAATGGAAATAGCAGCCTCTGATGGCTCCATGTTTAAAGACAGGCTGAATATCTGATTTCATGTTCAATGATATTGAATAGTCTCCCCACATGGCTCTTTTCCGTGGGCAGGCCCAGGCCTTTCTCAGTGCGTGTCCCAACGCAGTTGGTTTCACTGTGAGGGGGCTCCACGTGGTGCGGAGCTGCCGTGCTGGATGCAGATGAGGGCTACGTGACCGGGGGCCACGGGGCCCGCGGCGCTTGGCAAGGGGCAGCGGCGGGTGCTGCCTGCAGGCGTCCGTGGGGCAGCTCCGTGGGGCATCCCCACGGCACTGCACGCGCCTGCCCTCTCACTGCGCCGGGAGCAGGGTTAGTCGCTCCCTCACGGCCTTCCCAGGTTGAGTTGGCTTTGTTCACTGAAAACACCAATCATCCATTAAAAATGCCTGTGCGTTGTGGTGAGAAAGGCGATTTTGTGTGCAACTAGTTGTATGTGGTAGTTTTCCCCCATAGGGTTTGCTGCAGCCCTCCCGGGCACAACCTTCCCCTTGGCCTTGGTGGGAGCTGCAGCCGAGAGCAAGTGCTGAAGGGATTGATCCATAGCATTTCCCTGACATTTAGTTGGTCCTCGTTGAATGTGCTCTGAACCACCCATGGTGTTTTAAGCTTACAATCCTCATGGATTTTTTTTCTCATCACTGGTCACAGGTTACAAATAGTTTTTCCCTCCTGGATCTCTTGAAAGTGACTGTTTTTCCCTCCAAGCTGTCTTGCAGTGGTAACTTGCTCCATCCGCTCATCTGTCTTGGTTGTGACCAGAAAATGTATTTTATTTACTGTGTTGCATTATGGAAAATTTGATGTGTGTAAAGCAGAGAGACCATAAGCAAATCTGTAGAAAATAGGCTTAATCCTGTCCCCGATCTGCTCTTCCCACTTGAATGAGCGATTAGAATTTATGGTACAACACAGTGGACCAAAATTAGTCATATTATACTACATGATGTAACAATAATAGTATAATTACATTATACTATGTACAACTTCAGTAGACAATCTGAAGCTACCACCCTTTCATGAATATTTCACTGTGAAAATAGCTTTGACTTGAATAAAGCCAATGATATGAGTAATGACTGCTCATACAATTAGTCAGGGAAGGCGCCTGTGTATCAGCCTAGGATTCAGAGTCAGGTCCAGGGTGGGCCCATGGTGTGCACTTATCAGGGATACAGTCCTTAGCAAGGGCTCAGATATGCTGCAATAGGGTGAGCTTTTAATCTATTCAGTTGGTATTTCTGACATCTTGGCTATTTCTGTCTGGTGCCAAAGATGTTTTGTATTGTACATTCTGCAAATTACAGTCCCATCTTACTGTCACTTATAAACCAAATCAGAGAGATGAATCTGTGAGTGACAGCAAACCTTCTAACATAACATCATTAGGAAATTGTTATCCTGACAGAAATATCATGTGTGGAGCATACCACTAGTCTAAATTACTATGATTTGCTTGTACTGATTCTCAGGGTAACATCAAGCAGAAGCTTGAACTTTCCAAAGAAAAGTGTTAGCTGCAAGGTGGAAACTAGGAGGGAAAAGGGAGGGATGGCCTGTCTGAACAGCACCAGCCAGCACTGGGGCATTGAAAAAATCACAGTCATTGTGAAGGATGTAGTAACACTTCTAATCAGCATTTCTCCTTGCAGAGGAAGGGTGGTGCTGGTTGCTCAGCACCTTCCAGCCCTGCTGACATAGCCTGCATATTGCCCTTCAGGTGAGATTCAGGGATTTGTTTCCCCACAAAATCATAGGATGAACTGATATCTCCAAGTCTGGGTGCTGGAGTGAGTACATTTTGTAGGAGGTTGCACAGCCCATCCTGACTCCTTCCAGGCAAGACCAGGCTGCTCTTTACAGCCACGGGGAGCCCCAGGCTCCGCTTGAGGCATGTAGCTCCCCAGTGCTCGGTGCCCTTCCGAGCACGGTGCCATCTCTGTGCTAGGCTCCATCCTACTGTGCGTCGTCTGGTGCCACAGGGAGTATCTGTACTTGATGTATAGTTATTCTGCTGCCACAGTGGTATCCGTGGGGCTGCTGCAAGCACTAACCCAAGTTTGCTGTGGCTGGTTTCTTGGTAGGACACATTTCTGGAGTCTCTTGTTACATGCTGTCCCTGTCACTGAGCTTTGTGTGATGACGATGGTAATGACTAAGCCTGCGAGCTATCATTTGACCCTTAAATGAGGATTGTCAAGGCAGGAGTGTTTTACCCAGGAGGTAATCTTGGCAATAGAGGAGTTATCTCTTGGGCAAGAGAAGGAGGAGCTGGTCTAGGAGCAAGAGCATGAGCATGGGTTTTGGGTACCCGCTCATTGCTGCGCTCCAAGTTTCCTGCATGACTTGGAGCAAGGTATCTATCTAAATCCTCTGGTAGTACCTTCCCATAAGTTTCTGTAGGAGTTCAGGCATGCCAGGAGCCAAGGTACTTTGTGCATCTGGCCCTTAATGCCATTCTCCCTGGTCTTTAAGGTGGGAGTACCAATGTTCGCTGCCTACTGGATCTGTAGCGAGGAAAGCTCTATTAAATGTAACAATATTCTTAGCAAAGGTAATATAAAACAGGCTCTTAAAAGGACTTAAGGGATGTATTAAATATATCTTCATATCAATAATAAATAAATATCTTACTGCATGCAGTTGGCTCTCTTTGGCGCTGTAAAAACTCCACTGAATTAAGACGTTTCCTTGTGGCTCATAGCCTGTGAACGTGCAGAGGAGAGTTATGTTGCCACCTGAAGTGACATTCACCGTCGGTTGTGGAACGGTCACCGTGATGCTGCTGACATTGAGACCTGCCAAAACAAGGAGTAGGGAGGAGAAACATCAGCAGTGCTGCCCTGTCAGCCGGGCCGAGCCTCCTCACACCCGGCTTCGAGAGAAACCTGTGTGTGTCCAGCATTGCTCTGTTTAGAACAGTCAGTCTTGGGCTTTGTGTGGAAATGTCAGTGATAACAAACTAGGAGTGAGTAAAAGCTAACAAAGAAATAAATCTCCCAGAACTCCTGACCCTTTAAAACAAATAAGATTTCAAAAAAAAAGAAAAAAAGAGTCCCTAAAAAATACTCATTCTTACCTGCAAAGACTTGTATTCTCTCAAAGGGCCTGCAGCTAAACCAGACCTTCTTTCCACACTCCTAGTGAGCTTCTGAACTTCACACTCTTATTCACAGCTGTCTCTAACCTTCTTTTACACCTTTCTCACCCTCTTTTTGCACAGCTCTTTTTCTGAGGTCTCATCTTCTCTACCTGTGGGTCACCATCTGCTTACATTCCAATGTCCCACCTCCAACTCATCAGTGCTGCCATGTTCCCACAGCCTGGGATCCTGCAGCTGTCCCTGTTTCCCTTTGCTATTTACTTTGCTTTTGTTTAGGCTTCTTAGTGCTCATATGCCAAAGTCTTTTGCTTCTGATGCCTTGTATTGCAAATCTCAAGCTAAACTTTTGGAACTGCTTTTATTGTGAAGGTTATGAGAAATGTGGGGGCAATCTGATCAACCCTTTTTAGCATGCTCTGAACAAAAAGGGAGCAAATACATAATGCTCAGATCAGTCTTGTCTGCAGAGCCATGTTAGTGACAGGAATTGTGTACCATCTGTCACCATTTGTCCCTTTCTGTCCTCCACTGAAATGGTGTTAATAGAAATGGTGACGTGTCTCCGTAGAAGTCTGGATTTCAGGCTTTTGCTGGAGTATTGAGTCCAATTTTAAAGCCATTATCAAAAGATTCTGAAGGTGAAAACACTTGATGCTGGAAAATATGTCTGTTGGAGTTTTCTGTGGTAAAATAATAAGTGAGGCAAGAACATCATGTTAGATAACTTCCTGTGGATGGATGAACATTAGATGCAAGACATGCAAAATGTTCTTATCGTGATGGAATATCTCTGCCTGTTAAGGTGCTGCCTTTAAGAGTTTCAGCAGAACCTTCAGTAACATCAAAAAGAGTACTTTGCTCAGATTATCTGCCATATGAGAGGAAATGTTGTTTAAAAAAGAAATATCAATTATATCCTTTTAAGCATTTTCATTATAATGATTTTAACTCTGTAAATATTCCACATTCATCAGCTCCTCGAACATGTAAATCTGTGTTTTTGGGTCAGAAGCCTGTTTTCTTTGTTTTATGGCTCAAATATTAAAAAAAAAGGAATAATCCACTTTCCATGTCTGTGATGGCTAAGCTGAGAACTAGTGAGCTCAAATCATGGCAAGTAAAATAAGTCTCACAGGAATGGCTGCAAACTGATCTAATTTTGTATTGATTGTGTCTTGGAAAGAAAGATCTCAATGTTGCTTGTCCTGTGAGTTCACAGTAGTTTAATCCTTACTGTTGTCTATTATAATATCCATATAATACTATTGCAGGTGTCACTCTTCACTGTTCTTCTCAACTTTAGAGTTGTTTTTGCTGGAGGATGATAGTTTCTTGCCACAATAATACTTCCAGGTTTACTGGAAATATTTGTTTTCTGATCATTGTTTTCTGATCATTTCTGGTCATTGAAATAGAGCTGTGGTCTTTCAGTGCAGTGACGTTCTACTGAAAATGTTCCTTTTCCAATTATTTGCACCATATATTTCTTCCATCTTTTTATGTTTCTGAAGACAGGAGTGCCACAGAGCATGAACATTATAAGCTTTTCCAATGGAAATTAATTTTAGTGCAAGTGACTGCAAAACATGGTAACTACCATGAAGCTGTATATTGTAGTAAAATACATTTAGTAGGAATAGACATAGTTTTGCTCAGTTCTAGTGAAACTGTAAAAGTGTCTCTGTCCAGCAATGCTGTTGAACGCTATGACTGGCAGTAAGGAAGTGCTTTTGGCTGCGCATGGAGCAGACTGGACCCGCGCGTCCACTCCTGCACCGATGAGGGTAGTGGGACCTTTGCTTTGGATTTAATTCACTGTTTGCACCTCCAGACTAATAATCGCATCTCATACACACTGTCCTGTTGACTTGAAAAAGTGCATGACGAAGGTATAACTTAGAGAGAGAGCTTATTTGAACAAGACTTAACCTGTTGTTAAAAATAGTTGATCTATCTCCTCCTTCTTCACTATTACTATAAGGCTGTTGCTTACTACAGGGAAAGTCACTGCAGGTTTTTTATGCTAACAGAGTAAATATAAGTTTACTGACCTTTTGCTGCAAAATCCCCAGTTTGTGGTTCCCCTCAATTTGAGCACAGTGTTAGTCTTATATCCAGAACTTTAAAATTAGAGGTTGCTGTTCGTCAAGTATCCGTACTAACACTGAACTCCTTTTAATTTCTAAGGCAAAAGCTATGGGTTTTGTGTGTGTGTGTGTGAGAGAGAGATCATGCAAACCTCAGGAACAACCGTTTAAAATATTTCTATGAAATCCCAAACAGAAAGTTCCCTCTTGAAGAGAAAGTGTGGAAACCAACTTTCATTTTCTTTAGAGGCTACAGAGGCCGTTTGCCTTGTACCATTAGACTTAAAATGTCTGTTTCTGTTTGTATTAAAATAAAGGCTTAACACAGAGAAATGACCTTCAAAGAATGAATTATGTGTAATCACCACGTAAATCCTTGATTTGTATAATCTGTAATATGCCATCTAAATTCTTGCTTCTAAAGTGTATTGTGTCTATGTTTAACTTCATTGAAATCCAGTAGATTATTTTTATGCTAATATTTAAGCAGTCTCTGATTTTTGATGAGAGTTGAATCAAGGTGTCATTTTACATGATTAGTATAAAGAGGAGACAAAACCCCAAAGTGAGAAAGCATAACCTTGAAACGCTAGCAAAACAGTTTAAGTCTACGCATGAGCTCTTTGCCTCTTTCTGGCTTTAGAACAAAGCATTAATTTACTGTAAGCAAAGCTCAAACCATATTCCTGAGCAAAATACTCTATCAGTAAGGGGTCATCATCTTCTTTTCCATGGTAATGATATAGCATTATAATCGTAATTTTCATTCCCTTTAGAAATAAACCTTGAATGCTCTTCTGGTTTGCCAGCCTGGTTTGTCTGCTCCCTAGTTTTGACCCGTTCCTTGAATGAGTTTGTTTTCTTACCTGCCAGCGTGGATAGAATGAGCAGTATCTTCAGCATTGCTGCAAACATCTCGAAGTCTGGTAAGAAAAGGGACTAGATGCTGCTTCTGCCTTTGACTACAACTCAACTGTCGGGTTCTTTTTTTTAAGTAGGTTTTTGTTTTCCTTATCAGCCATATATCAATACGTCAGTAAGCTTTTTCATTCTCTTTATCACATGTGTGCTTTTCTCCGAGTAGTGGTTTAACTGTTCAGCTGAAACCATTTTGTGGGGTGTGAGTAACTGAGTGTTCTGTTAATAATAAACCTTGGAATCAGAGAATCCTAAATTCTCCCACCTCTAGCTAGGCCATATTTGCCTGCCTTAGCGCTTCCACTAAATACAACAGAAGTATTTGTGGTGCAACTTAACAGTCAGTCTGATTACCAGTGTTGGAGTCAGGCCTAGCATGAATAAGGAATAATCTTTATTTCCTATTAATTCTGTTGTTTTCTTTTTAAAAATGGGCATGTGAGATAACTGTTACTAGATTTCTATTTTAAAGCATAAAGCACACTGAACTCTTAAATGTCTTGAAGCGTCTATACTGAACTCCCTGGTAAGATAAACGTACTGTAATGCACATAGGAAACATTATCATCCAAAATCATGAAACAATTAGTTTTATCCAGCTATAATTCATTTAGCTGGATGCCACTAATACAAAAAATACAATGTGAATTTATTGAATTTTATTTAAATGCTAATACCTGATTTATTTTATGGAGAAGTAGTGAGAGAAGTTTAGGACTTGGAGAACTATTCTGGTTTGCCTACTGTATGAACAAGTGTGGTAAAAACATGGAGTATTTTTATTACAATAACTTACAGGAGATTAGTTTGTCCTTAATGAATGCAAAAGATCTTCTGTACATCAGTGAAGCTTATTAGGAACCAAAGGTGCTCAGCTTCATGTAGGACCCAACTTTGCTTTCTTTATTCTGTGTCATTATATTGAGGTGCTCCAGCTTGAGCTGAGAGTAGCTGGCTCAGCACATGCAGCGGTGTATGAGTAGCTGAAGGTCAATGTTGCTTTTCAGGTGAGCACTTGTATCTACAAACATCATGAAAATGGCCTTTTTCCCTGCATGGTGAAGAGCTGAGGCTAGTTCAAATCTGACAATACAGTGTCTCACACAATATCAGTGTGTACTATAATTCCCTTTATCAACCCTAAAATCATTTCTCTGATACTTAAGGCACCCTTAGCCCATATATATTGTCGTTGTTTTGTTGTTTTAGTGCTTTGGAAGATCACAGAACTACATTCCTAGAGGGCAAAATGCTCAGTGTGAACAAGGTATAGGGCAAGGCACACAGCTTTTGTGCTAGTATGGACCTATTTAAGCCTGAAATGCTAGGCTGAGATTCCCAATTATGGAATGGGTGTTTCTCGTAGCGAGTGGTTACAACCATCAGTCCTATTTTATGAAAACTCTCAAAGAACAGTAGCATTAACTTTTGACTGTTAGCAGCCTGGGGCTCATTTCACTCCAGAAAACTAAAGTGTGTTTCCTAATGCTGATCTTCAAAGCCATCCGAGGTTACTCTCCTGTGAAGGTGATAGATGGTACCTGTCACTTGCTATTACATTTCCAGCTCATTGCTCCTAGAGAGCAGCACTGAAGTCACCTTAGAAAGAGAACTAAACTCAGAAAGCAAAATCTGGTTTATCCTGTGTTAATGATGAATAAAGTTAAGCATGACAAGGAAGCTCTAGTTGACTGTGCAGCCCTGCAGCCTTCAGGAAGATGAGAAGGGAGCCCAACGACAGCAGCAGCAGTCGCTTTGCCCCAGGTGGAGCGGGAACTCTTATCTTGAGATAAAATGGCAGAGGCCGGTACCAGGAACTGTATGTCAACAGACGCTGTGACTCAAATGTATGTACACCCAGGCATGGTCAGGCAGGTTCCCGTCCAAGCGACTCCCTTGTGTTCCCTCTATAAATAGAAGTGGCCCACAGGCACACTGTGAGGCTGCGTTGCCCGGGCAGGTGCTTAGGTGATGCTTAGAGGTTGCTTCTGTCTGCTTGAAACCTAATTCATTTTTGAAACCTGAGTCTTTCAAGACTTCTTGTACAAGTCCACGTTTAACATGAGTAAGCTCAGCAGCACTTCTCTGTGTTTCTGAAGTACACTACATGTGTGATTGTTCAAAGACAACAAACCTGAGTGCTAAGTGCTTTTCTTGCCTGAAACATGTGTTGGGTATTGCTGAAGAGCAGCACCCACAGCTGGCTGCATGGCAGGGTGACGAGGGTGACTTTTGCTGGGGTACTTTGGTTCTGTATCAATCACTGCTTCATACGCCAGCTTCATTAACCAGCCCGCGTTTGTCAGCACTGCCCTCCCAGCCTGGAAGTGAGGCTGCCCTGGACAGCCCTGAAGTTTGAGGGGTCCCTGTGTCCCTTCCCCACAGCCTTCTGCCTCCTGGCCTCTGCTTGGCAGGAGCCACAGGCTTTGCAACACTTGTAAAGTGCTGTTCATAAGGACACACTCTGCAAGTTTTAGGGAAAATGAGCTATCACGTTCCCTTTCGTCTTCCTCCTCTCCTAGGCTGCAAGCCTGCGGTGCGGCTTGTGTGTCCCACCAGCTGTGAACAAGCAGGCAGCCAAGCTAGACGGGGGCTCTTTCATCAAAGAAAACCAGCAGCGTTAACAAATACGAGGTTTGTCCTGGCAGACAACATTCACCTTCAAAAGGCAACAAAAGGAAAGGAAAGCAGCGTGGGGCAGGCACTGAAAAGCAGTCGTAAGTATAACTTAGAAGTGAAAACAAAGCAACTCGCAGCAGGCCGGAGCCTTAATGATGCACAATAAAGGTTGCCTGAAAAAAGCTGAGAACATTTCCTTCTCCTGTGGAGATGGTTGCATCCTTGTAAAAACTGCAGGTGCTAAATACTACGCAGCTACAAAACTACAGTTTTGTACAGCCGTTGCGGATTTGTATAATTGAGATGGTCTCCCCGTGGACAGAAGAACAGTGCATTGCGAGGGGGACGCAGGCTGAAGAACAGCTTTCTGTCCAAAAGGACCTGCATGAAAGGGACCCATTTGCATGTAGTAGCTCAGGTGCAGAAACCGGGGCAGGCTCTCAACTGAACAATACATCACAGCAAATGGTCCTGCCTCTGTAGCGTTTGCTGTTCCCATAAATCTGCATTGGCTGCATAACCTGCTGTATGCATGGGATTCACTTTGCTTGTTAGGTCTTTATTTTTCTGGTTCTTTTTCTTATATTTTTAAAACTGAAATTAACTTGTCGAAACAACATGGAAAACTCGCAGTGGGCAGCTAGGGATTGAACTTTGTGTCAATGCTACCAGAGGGAAAGGTCTTTTTCTTAATCATGTTTGGCATTTGCACATGTCAAGAATTTCAGAAACAGTTCAGTGATACTGTTCCTTGAGTTTGGCAGTACTTGCACATATCTAAAAGGAAACATGCCTTTGGCTTAGAGGCACATGTAGCTAAATAATTTATGAGACATCTGCATGCCTGAACAAGTACAATAATGTAGTTTTAGGGTTACCTGGACAAATTAAAAGCCTGGCGTAAAATGGATGCAGTTGCATTGTACTGTGTGGTTTCCATCTGCTTCTACCATCTCTGAAATGGAGTTCTAGCTTGAGAGATGTTAAAATTTTCCATGCAAGACAGGAGCTGGTCCTGGGGCTGAAGTTTCGTGGAAATGCAGTTGTGCTCCCACAGCAGCCTCAGTGCCGTTCACTGCACAGCTGCAACATAACTTCATGTGCCAGCTCTGCTGCCAGCCATCAGCTTCCAATGCTGCTGCACCCTGGCACTCCGGCGAAGCGGCGGGAGACAGGATTTGCCTTAGGAGGCTCTTGGTTCTCCAGAACTGGACTGGATGACACTTCAGAAATGCTGCAGTACATTGAGGTGAACAAGCTCATGTGCGGCCACCTGAGAGCTTCTGCTTATTTACTGCTTGTAGTGAAATAAGATTGCTTGCTTAGGTGTTTTTGATTCTCCTAAGAAGAATGATTTGACGTTTCCAATCCTGCTGTGTTAATCATCTCATTCCAGTTATCTTAATTATTCTATTTACACCAATTGTGACAATACAGCAGTGTCACTAAGCAAAGGATCAGCTATGCTGAATAAAAAACTATGCAGATGATGAGCTGAGATAAACCTGAGCACATTTTTAGTCAGGTCGTTGAGTTGCTAATGGCAGGCAACCCAAGCACCTTATTCATGCGCAGCTCCGGTAGCCCAGCAGATGTGTTACGCTGTGTATTAGTAGTTCAGATTCTTCGGAAGTATTTATTCTTCAGTGATCATGTTGGCAGTAAGTTTGCAAATTGTAGAGAATTAATGGAAAATGAAACTGTCAGCAGCCCATATGTCATGGCAGCAGCTGGGAAAACGATCCGTCAGATGACTTAATCTGAAAAATACATACATCTTAATGGCACAGAGGGTGTAACTTTTGAAGAACGACTGTATAATCCAGTTGTACACAGCTATCTGGTTGAAATGATCTGGTAAGAGCAGTGGGACAGCCCAGCCTGGCACAGCCTTATTCCTGGTGTGCCTTCATGAGCAGCAGCAGGTTTTGCAGTTTGGTGCAGAAATCCAGGAATGTAGCTGAGGCTTCCAGGTCAAAGATGTAAAACTGCTTGAGGGTGGCCTTTCCTGGGTTAATCAGTAGGTTAAATGAAACATTCTTGGAGCCCATTTGAAACTTGGAAAACCTTCCAGTTCTGCAAGCAAGCATCCCCCAGGAAGAGCAAATGGATAAAAATGTGTCTTACTGACTTATTTTATCTGCACCCCTGATGCTGTTGCTATTGAATTGGTGCTAGCTCTTTGTTGTTCCCCCGAAATGCAGGTGAGCAGGGCTGCTGCACACAGCATAGTCACGGTCACTATCTTTGCATCTCTATGAAATGTTGTTTCCCATGTACTGTGATTTTTGGGGAGTCCGGACGCCCCCCAGTTGACCACTGAACTGCAGCAGATGGATCAAGGTGCTTGTACCTTGCTAGCAGTA